AGCGCTTTTGGGATTACCTGGACGCGTTAAAAAGCTTTTTCTGGAGAGCAGAAAACCGGCGGGTCTGAGACAAGCGTTAATAACGCGACCGCTTCCCGTGAACGGGAAGAGGGAGGCGGGAAGGACGGCGAAACCCCATCTCTCTCCCGTCACCAGCGAACCCAGCACAGTTACAGGCAGAAAAAGAAGGTTACAGGCAGGGTAAAATTAAAGCTTTTCATTTATCGGCCCGGCTCCCAGCTTTCGCTTCAGCAGGGGGAAAAAACCACTTCCAGAGCCCGAGGTGCAAGAACCAGCTTAATTGTCAGATTCCAGGCACGGAGCCCAGGGCAGGAGGGGGAACTCCACGGTGGCATTTGCTATTCAAGTCCCCCTGCCTAAGTCACCCCATCCGAGTCCCGACGGAGGCGGAAAGAGGCGACCGGGCCATGCCCCGGGCGCGCCCCCCGTGCTGCCCCGGCCTGCCGGGTGAGCGGGGCTGGGGGTGCCAAAGCCGAAACAACACCGGAGAGGTTTTATTCCGGGCTTTGCATAAATTGTCCTGAAGTAAAGGGAAGGCACTTCGGTGCTGCCTGGCTGCTGCATTCGCGTGCTGTGCCCTGGCACCAGCCTGCCCGGCTTCATCCGCGCTCTCCAGCCGGGCTGAACCGGGAGGGAAGGGGCCCGACGATCTCCTAAGTGCCCGGCGGGAGGAGCTGGGATCCGACAGCGGTGGGCAGGAGCCCCGAAGGCCCGGTACCTGCCCCGCCGCCGGGGAGCGGAGCTGTCGAGGAGCTCCCATCCGGCTCGCAGCGCAGCCGACCCAAGCACCGGGCAGAGGGGAGGCCCCTCGCCAAGGCCGGCTTCACGTCAAGGTCAAAACTCTTATTTTGACGGCCAGAAAAGGCGAGACTCGTTAGGGCTTGAAAGGACCGGGGGATAAGAAAAGAATAAAAATTAAAAAAAAAAAAAAAAAAAAAAAAAAAAAAAAAAAAGTAGCAAGGAAAGGAGAATGTTTTTAGATGGAGCACCTGGACAGCTCCAAAATCTTTTTCCTCTGCAGAATTCCGGAGGGGTGAAAGCAAAACCTGCCCTGGTCCCACTCGCCCCCAGCAGCCCTCAGGCGCCTTCGGCGACCGCCGGTGGGACCCCGCCACGGCAGACACGCACATCAGCACAGAGATCCCGCCGGCAGGATTTATTCAACCCGGGCTCGCCGGTTTGCAGCATCCCTTCCCAAGCGTTTGAAAGGAATAACTGACCCAAAGACTCTGGGGAACCCTTGGGGACCCGTAGAAGCCCCGGGGTCCCAGCGGCTCCCGCCGCCACGATGAGAACAGGGAGATTGGCACAACTTCTCGCAAGGAAACCCTAATAGGCTATTTCTGGACTACTGGCTCTTAACAAATCTATAGCACCTGAAGTGTTAGCACTCAATTAGTGACAAGGTTTCAAACTCCGGCGTTTACTGGCGAGGTATAAACAGAGTCCTCGGGAGATAGCCGGGAATTAGAGCGGGAGGGGGGCCTGGACATCTTAACCGACTGGGATTAAGAGGAAAAGTTTTTTAAAAGGTCCCATCTCTCTCTAAACAGTCCGAGGTGTCGAAAGCTCAGGGGTAGAGAGGATGTGTTCTCTGGAGTTAATTGCGGGATTGGAATTTTTTTGGGTTTGTTTGTTTGTTTTCAGCAAGAAAAGTTTTAAATTTTTGTGGTATCTTTTTTTTTTTAGGAAAAAAGAAAACGCACAAAAACCACAACAAACCCAACACGAATCGCACTTAGCAATCCCGGAGAGAAGCTACGAGTGGGTTTGGACGACAACCCTCGCCTGCGAGGGGCTTTTCTGGGCATGGGGGGCCAGGGCAGGCTCAGTCCTGAGGGGGCAGCGAGAGCAACCTGCAAACAACGTGAAGGCGACCGGGGGAGAACAGAACACCCCCGCTTTTCCCTGCCAGCCAAAAAAACAACAACGTCTTTGCTCGGCCCGTCTCCCCTCCACACACCCACAGGGCCTGGGTCCCGGCTGGAGGAGTGGGCTGGAGAAGGTGTTTCAGGGCTCTGCTCCGGGGTCCTGCCTCCCTTTACTCTTTTTTGCGTGTTAATTAAACGCAGCCAAAAGCGACGCCGCAGAAAGAAAAAGCGGTGCGGGAGAGCTGGAGGTGCGGGGGATCCCTCCCCTCCACCCCTGCCCCGCGACTCAGCCGGGGCACCCGGGAAGGTCCCCCCGGGCCGGGCCGGGCAGGGACCGAGCGCGGCTCCTGAGGGCTGCGAGCAGAGTCCGGAGTGGGATGAACCGGTCGCCCTTGTCCACTCCGCTGGACAGTCGGAGCTTGGCTTCAGCGAGCTGCTGGAGAACACCGGGAAAGGGAGAAAGAGGGGGTGGGAAAGGGGGAGGAATGGGTGCGGAGCCCCGACCCGGAAAGTCCGTGAGCTGCTGTATGTCAGTAACTTATTCATCAATCAGCCGGACACAGAGCAGACCTGGCCTCTCTTTGCGGAGTGTTTGCTTTTTCACCAATTATTGCGGCCCTGCAGCTCTTTTTGTTGATACAGTAGTTCTAAAAAGTGCTAATGTTCATTTATCAGGGGGCCGAACCCGAGACTCCCACTAGTTGTGATTCTTCCAAAAATATAAACACGAAGAGAAGGGCTAAGGCTAAAGCCCCCATTTGTTTCTAAACCGCAGTATTAAAAGTGATGCATTGTTGAAGATAAAGCGGAGATAACGCTGTCTGTCTCCAATGAATGTCTCCCCGACGCATTAATGACATTCCAAATGATAGCTCCGGCTTATCGTTCAATTAATCACTTCCACCCTCTGCAGCCGGGCCCACATCGATCGGGAGCCGCCGTGTGACTGGGGGCTGGAGGGAGCCCGTCAACCCTCAGTGAATCGCGGGCTGTCGGCCGCAGTGCCCGCCCGCCGGGACGAGCCCCGGGCCCGCAGGGGGACAGGTCGGACAGAGGGAAACCGCCGGGACAGGCACTGCCGTGCGAGCTCCCGACCTGACCTGGGAAGGGCGTTTTGGGTCCGGGATTGAGGAAGGGAGCGCTGGATGCCGTTTCTGCCGGGAGGTGGATGTCACCAAGGCGGACGAACCTGCGGCCGCGGCTCTGGGTTTGGGAGGGATCGGGATCACTTCGCTATTTTAGTATTTATCTAACTTACCCCCATTAGCTTGCATTAAAAAGGAGGCAACGAGATTAGAAAACCCGCCGGGCAATGCGGAGGGCAAGGGGTGCCCAGACAGCCGGCAAAGTCCCGCCGCAGGCCCCTCTCCTGAGCCGGGCTGCTGAGGCTGCCTCTACCTTCCCCAGGCGCTTCACCCCTTTTCCTACAACCGAGGAACATCCCCTCCGAGTTGCGTCCCAGGGAATTCTGCAGGAAGCGCAGCCGCGAAGAGCGAGATGGCCGCTTAGCCACCTCCTCCCGTAATTAAATGGCAATATTTCAGGCCTCCCCATTCACAGTGATCGCACCGACTGTCATCGCAAGATCCGGATCTGGTTCGCCAAAAAACTGCTCCCAGGACACCCGCAGGCGTCTGCAGCGAGGGGCTGCGAGCGCCGGGGTTGCTGCTGCTGCTCCGGCCAGCGATCCCCAGAGAGCAGAACGGGTCACAGCATTGCCCCCAAAAACATCCTGAATTAAATTCCCCAAAAGCGAGCCCGAAGGTGCCGAGAGACAAAAATCTCGGGGGTCAGCTGCGGGGGGCACACTGGCGGGTCCGTTCAGGAGCAGCCCGGGCAGGTGCTCACATTTTCACCCGCCTCGGAGGGTCCCTTCCTACGGGCGGAGGAAGGATTTGCACAACTGCGACTCCGCCGCCTCCCAGGGCAGGGCCCGGCCGAGGGACCCCCAAACTCATCGCATCCCTCCAGGGTTTCTCCGCTCGGCTCCCACCGCCCGGGCCGAGCCCATCCCGTGTCTCTCTCAGTCGGGTGCTGGATCTCTTTTAAAGGAGATCCTTTAAAATTTATTTTCTTTCTCGACCCCCGAGCCCAGAAAGCGCCGTAAGGCCCCCTCTCAACCTTCGGCTTTGCCGCTAGGGTTTATTTCAGCCACTCCATGCAAGTTAAACGAGTGAGAGCACCCACCTCAGCCTCGTGAACTCGGGACCCGCGGGCAGCCGTGCCCACTGAGCTGCGGGGACCCGGCTAGCACCAGGGCCAGCCCAGCGGCCGGTTGCTTTGGCTTACTCATCTCTTACCCTTCTATATTTTGCAACACCTTCATCCCCCGCTTGTTTTGGCTTATTTTTCTTTTCTTTCTTTTTTTTTTTTTTTTTTTTTCCCAGACAGTGGTAGTTTGTTTGGGGTTTTGGGATTTGTTTGTTTGTTTGTTTGAAAGCTTTACAAACAGACGGGAGGAAAACGCAATCGGCATTTCCCTCTCCCAAGCCAGGCAGGGGCTGTTCAGGACCTCTCTCCTATCAGCTAGATTTTGCGAGCGTTGTGTTGCTTCAGAATATCTGTATAAACCCTAAGCGCGGATTTCCCCTTGAGCGCGCTTCACACAGCAGTGAACTCCCGCTCTCTAGTTCCTGCGATCGGATATTGCAGAACACTAAAAATGAAACCTCCGTTCCATCACTTAGAAAAAAAATATGAAATCAGCACATATTTGGTTGATGGCTTCCTCCCGGCCTGTTTATTTAATCTGACTGTATGATAGATAGCGTCAGATAGTGCCTTTGTACACATTAGGCCGTTCCGCTTTTTTTTCTTTTTTTTAATGGATGAAAAAACTGAGCGCAGAAAAGCTGGATAAATGCAGTGCCGCCCCTTTAAATGAGCGGAGATGTTTTTGAGATGTATTACTATATTAGGTGACATGGAACTTTGCATCTCTCATACCATCACTGCAATGTTGGCCAATAGAAAGCTAAAGTCACCCAAAAACTGCCTAGTCCCTCCTTCCCTTCCCTTATGGTCTGGTCCTACCTGCCTCCAGTGCACAAGTCAAGGCTACTCGCAGGAATGCTATGTGCCCCCTCCGTGAGCCCACGCTCCACCACTGCTCCAGGTTGGCTGCTCCTCAACTACTTTTCCATGACCCTGGGCTCCGGCTGCTGCCCCGCTCTCCTCCGCAATGTTTCCTAGCCCTGTGACAACGACACCCTTCTCGGTCAAGGATATTTTGAACCTGGAACAGCATCAGAGCGGCCTGGCCTCCATGGAGCTCTCCTCGCTGGCCTCGCCCTCCTGCATGCTGGCCACCTTCAAGCAGGAGACCTACAGCGCTGAGCCGCCGGCCCTGCCCGACCTGCGGGAGGAGCTGCCTGAGCCGCCCCCCGCCAAAACAGCCGCCGCCTTCCCCGGCTCCTACTACGTGAAAAACTACGTGGAGATGGACTCGGCCAAGGAGGGAAAGGCGGACAAGAAAGGTAAAGCCAAGTGCTGCTGTCCGGGGCTCGCCGGTGGTCCTTGGGAGGAGAAAAAGGGAACGGTGACCCCCCCAGCCGGGGTCGGGCGTTCGGCCAGGTGTCCCCAGGGCTGAGGGGGAATAGGGGACAGCGCAGGGCTGCTACCACCCTCAGGGGCCGGGGGAGAAAGAGCGCGGAGAGCGGGAGCATCTTCATCCCCTCCCGGGCGCTGCAGTGCAGGAGCGGGACAGACCCACTGCGGGGAGCGTCCCGGTGACCCCGGGCCGGAGACCCCCCCCGAGCGGGGCCGAGGCCGAGCTCCCACCCAACGGGACGGGTAGAGCTGCAGGAGGATACGCGAGGTCTCTAGTTTGTACAGAAATTAGGTGACAAATCGGATTTCTAGTTCGTTCGGCTGAGCCGAACTCGTACTGGAACCCGTAGGTCGGGCTGGGATTCGGTACAAAGCCAGCGCAATAAATACAAAGGCTGCGTGATAAATCCAGGCTGGGGCACAGGCGGTCGCGACTCAAGTCAGTGCACTGAGCATTCTTGTTTTCAAACAAACAAAAAAGACGGAAACTTTGCTGAAGAGGTACTTAAAAAGCGGGGTAGGGCCTGTCCCACTGCTGCATGAGCGGGTCACCGCGGCGGCCTGGGGGGCTGAGGCACACGGAGCCGGGAAAGGACCGGGGAAGAGCCAGGGCTCGCTCACGTTGCACACTGTTTATTGAACACTGCTTTATATGTTTTTGCACATTTTTTTCCTCCCCCTTTTTCCTTCTCCCGTATATTTTGCTGCAGAGCTGTGTTCCCTGCACAAGAGCCTGGAGCAGGAGAAAAGAGACCTGGAAGATCCCGAGCGCCCCAGACAGAGGAAAAGGAGGAAACCTCGCGTCCTCTTTTCTCAAGCCCAAGTCTACGAACTGGAAAGAAGGTTCAAGCAGCAGAAATACCTCTCGGCCCCCGAGAGAGACCATTTAGCGAACGTCCTAAAGCTCACCTCTACCCAAGTGAAAATTTGGTTCCAGAACCGAAGGTATAAATGCAAAAGGCAGAGACAGGATCAGACCCTGGAAATGGTGGGGATCCCTCCCCCCCGGCGGATAGCAGTGCCGGTGCTGGTGCGCGATGGGAAGCCCTGCCTGGGGGAATCTTCTCCCTACAGTTCGCCCTATAATGTCAGCATTAACCCCTACAGCTACAACGCCTACCCTGCGTACACCAACTACAACAGCCCCGCCTGCAACGCCAACTACAACTGCAACTACCCCTCCATGCAGCCCATGCAGCCCTCGGCGGCCGGCAACAACTTCATGAACTTCAGCGTAGGGGACTTGAATTCGGTGCAGACGCCGATCCCTCAGGGGAACGCGGGGATCTCCACACTGCACGGGATCCGAGCCTGGTAGAGCCGCCCCCGCCCCCAGCCCGCTCCCTCCATGGACCACGGCCATAGGGATGGAGGGGCTCCGGCCGCGCCTGCGAGCCGGGCTCGGGACATTTCAGGCTGCGGGATGAGGACGGTTCAGTGCAGCATCCCGGCGGAGTTCACTGGAGTGGTGGCCATTTACGGGGGG